TATATCTTGGAAATATGCCCCAGCCCCAGGAAGACAACAAATTTCTTTTATTAATCAAAGTTGCCTTAGTACACTTTCTGGACACTTTCAGAAGGAAATAGCTACTTATACTCCAAGGAATGATATAGCAGAAGTACAAAAGCATCCAGAAAGGATCTAGTTCAATTTTCTTCAGGAAGGGACTTAATTTTTCTTTTTTAGCTCCAAGTATACAGTTGACCTTTTCCTTCCCTTACTCCTCTTACTATTTTTCCACTCATCAGTGTTCTGACAAGGTCAAGTTTCTTCTTCACCACTTCAGCTCCTGCTTTCATTTTTAAATTAATTTTTTTGTTATTCTGAACTTGAAAAATACTAAATAACATAATCATTGTTCTGTACACAAAACAGAAAAAGAGGATTGTACATGAAACCTCAAATACAGCTTGCATTTTTAATGGACTATACCAAATTCAACTTGTTAGTTTTGAAGCTGTCCTGTTTTTCTTTGTCTCTTTCGGTTTTGTAGATTTAAAAAATACTACAGTGACCCTCTTTATTTTTTATTTTTGGGGGAGAGATCGCTATTGATAGTCCTCCATTTTTTATAGTACCTTCATAACAAATAATCATGAACAAGCAAAAGAAATTCACATTTTTATACCTTAAGTCTCCTACCTCTCTGTGAAGCAGTGCTTTTTCATCAGTCCTTCTCATGGTTGGTCACTGCTTTGATTAGAGTTCTTAGGTCTTTTAAAGTTGTTTTCCTTTACAATGTTACAACAACTATATAAATTATTCTCTTGGTGCTTACTTCACTTTTGCTTCAGTTCAGTGAGTCCTCCCAGATTTCTCTGAATCCATCATTTCTTACAGCACAATGATATTCCATTACCTTTATATGCTACAGTTTATTCAGCTCTTTTCCGATTAATAGGTACTATTTTAGCTATTTTTCATGATTTAGTGTTTCAAAGTAGCATTTGTATTGTTCCTGCTAACTAACCTCTGGAAGGTATTCTTCTAGTCCCCTCACTTTGTTTCCTGTGTTGAGAATTTGGCAGTCATTTGGTTGTGGCAGAAATATAAACTTTGTACACTCATTTTAAGTCACTACAAGATTTGCTCTTTTTATGCTGGTTGAAATTCTCAGCCTTTTTTTTTTTTTTCTTAAACTGCTTGTGGGTGTTCACCTCAGAAAAAAATCCTTCATCACCCTTTTGCAGCTGACAACTCGATAACCATATCCAGGTTTCTTTCCTTTGTTTCAACAATTTTACAGTCATTCCCTACTTCCTTTCCACTTAGCACTAATCTCATATTTCACCAATTTCTTATTACCTACCAATTTGCTAATTTGTTTTTGTTATTAGTTTGTTTTACTTAGTTTTACTTAGGTTGACTTCTAACTTCTTTTTTCTTTTCCTTCTCCTTGAGTTCTTCTTTTCAAGTTCTTACTCCTTAATCCTATTGCTTCTCTTGCTCCTTTTCCTATAATCTTCTCTCACTGAAGTTATAAATAGAATCTGGACTAAGATTTATCTCTTTTAAATTTATCCGAATGCCTCCAAATTTTTTTTCTCCGAATTCAACCTCTTCCATTCTTCATGAGCCTCAACCCCACTCCAGATCACCTACACATTTTCCTTTTCCTTAATCAGCTGAAGTCCTCTTTCTTCTCTCTGATTCTTGCAAGCTGGAAGAGGTGTTGAATACAAGAGTACTTTGTAACCATAAAATATTATATATAAATGTAAGGTCTCATTATCCTCATATTAACTTAAGCACTTTAAAATGAGATTTGGAAAATGATTTATTTCCTAGTACTATCTAGTACTAATTGATATAGCATTTATAAATATCAATCATATGCTTAATGAGCACTAGTTTAAACAGTGTCCTATGTGTTTTGTTGTTGTTAGGTAATTTTCTTTTTTACTCTGAAATTGGAATATTTATAGAGGGCTATAGCATAATGGACTTCCCTTCAAGTTCTACCCCCCACCCCCTTAAAAAATAAAAGTTGAATAGTTTGAAATCAAGTCTATATTAGGTAGTCACAAGAATTGTGTAGAGTGAGAAAAGGAATAATACAGTAACATTTTAATAAGCTGGCATGATTTTCCAGAATGTGAGTGTTTTAAATGAACAATGAACTTATTCATGCAGAGAGATTGCCCAGTGCAAAAATGGTCAAACAGTTACTGCCTCAGAGCCATATGTGATTCTTTGTAGTTTCTTATCTTGGGGAACAAAATTTCCGTTGTAAATTATTGGATATTGTGATCGATAAAATTATGTCCTTTTTTAAAAAGATTTAAAATACAGCAACATAGAAACACATGAAAGTAACTAGTAATAGATTAAGTTGATTTTATAGCAGTTTATTTAATTTTGAAAAGGCATAGTTTTGGTGTTCATCTTTAATCAAATTAACTACCTTTGTGCAGTATCCAGATGCCCCTGCATATACTTTAGAGATTTGCCTCTGAAACTCTTTCAGGTGTGCCTCATTACATTGGCTGGCCTTTTATTTACATATCTTTTTTTTTCTTCAAGAAATGTAGCAATTTTTCAATAATAATTCTTTCATTTAGTAATCAGGAGATTAAGATTATTATCAACATATTCCATAAGAAACCTCATAAGAATATGAAGCTAAATTTTCTATGGCTATTCTAGCTCTTAGCTAGAGTACAATAAACATAGTGTTAAAAAGTTAAACATTTTCTCAGCACTTCACACCATTAGAAAGCAGGATGTTTTCGAGGCTAAAATGGCATCAAGTTTGATCAGAAGTACATAAAATAGGGAAAAACAATATGGTAACTAGAAGGTATTCATTAAATTAGTTTATGAGAGAAATGTAAATTTAAAGTTGTTTCTGAAATGCTTAACTTAACCTGCTGAATCTTTCTAAGTTATTTCATAAGTATTCTTTTGCTTGAAGATAGCCTAAGAGTGTAGATCTTCCCATATTGTAAACAAAAGATCTTCTGGCCTACTGGCTTTTTTGTGAGATAAAGAGTTGCTGGTTAACTCTGGGTGTCTGGGCTGGTAACACTAGGGCAAATGAATAGTGAGCATAAGTAGAGTAGTATATAACATTTTAAAAAGTAGTTTAAAAATCAAATGAGTTCAAACATTTGGTTTATTTAAATTGGAAAGGTAAACAAAATATAGGCATTTGATACTCATATCTAAAATAAATGAAATAAAAGCTAAACAAGTTCTCTGTCCGTATTTCATAGAATAAGAAATGACAGTGAAATTAATACCTGGTTAATTTAGGAAAAAGTAAAAAGAAATATTTCTACATATACATATATTGCATATATACACAATGTATATGTATAGATGCACATTGGAATTTATGGTTGTAAGAGGTCATAGTTGAATACTGTTTAAAAGGGCAGCAGGGATAGGGAACCTGTGGCCTCAAGGCCGCAGGTTCCCCACCCCTGGTAGAACAACTTAGGCATTGATAGCTCTTGAGTGCTAAATTAAGGATAATCATATCTCTTATTTCAACTGTAAGCAATTAGAATAAGAAAGTAATTTTATTTTTTGTATAATATTTTAGTTTAGCCATTCAGCCTTTATTTCTTAGCAATACATAAAGCAATCTTAAGATTAACGAAATGTGTTTTATTAAATTTTTATTTCTTGGGGTTAGAAATGTATTTTTAAATTATTTGCATATAGGATTATTTTTACTTATTTGAACATTACTCATGCTCGTAAATTTTTAACAATAAGGAACATGGAAGAATATGTATATATACCTTATAGTTAGTCCAAAATGAGGATTAAACTCTGAAACATTTATTTGGGATGGCCATCTCTACTCTTGTTCTGTTATGATGTACTTTTCTGTTTATGTTGCCTCAGGCTATCATGTTTATGGAAGAAACCATTTTCACATTCCCTTTTTAGCACAATTAAAATCTTTTTTGAAACTCAGTAAATATTCTTAACAATAATCACACAGACTTTTAAAAAATTTAAGTTGTCGGGGCAGCTAAGTGGTACAGTAGATAGAACACTGGTCCTGGAGTCAGGGAGACCTGAATTCAAATCTGACCTCAGACACATAACACTTACTAACTGTGTGACCCTGGGCAAGTCCCTTAACCCCATTATGTAGGCCCCCCCCCAAAAAAAAAATTTAAGTTGTCATCTTTTATGTTTTGTAGCATTTAGTTGATTGAAGGATATATAATATATTTTTTAAACTTTTTGTTTTCACTTTTCTGACTCATGAGATTGATAGATTATTCTCAATAGCTTCTTTAAGACTTTTCCCATTTAGTGTTTTTAAGTTCCTTACTTTAATTTCTTCTGCCTTTTAAGATTATTAATTTAATTCCTTTGTCTGTTTTACATGTATGATGTTTATTAATTCTCATTTTAGATGGTTGAGAATTAAGAAATTAAATTTTTCAAAAGCTGGTATTCTGGAAAAAATCTTTAAAACAAAGGAAAAATCAAATAGAATCTTCAGTCATTTCTTAATAATCCCAATATGGCTTATCTGAGCCAATTTTGAATTCTAGGTTGATTATTCATTCTCACATTTAAGGTTGGCCAACTTTGCCCTTTAATGCAAGTGATGCTAGACATATATGAGAAAGTAAACCTGTTGCAAGAAGCAGTTCATTACAAAGCTAAAATTTTGAGATACTTAATTTGTAAAAAAACATCTTCATATAACAGTTTCTGTTAGCATGGATAATAAAAGTTGGTTATTCTAAGCTGAATTATTCAACAAACATTTTTTGGATGTCTACTGTGTTCATAGCACTGCAGCAGACATGAATGTTATATCAAAGATGATTTGCAAATGTTTTGTGACATGGTAGAAAAGATCATACCTAAAATTCTGGGCTGATGAGTTTGTTTAAGCTATTCCCAAGTATTTTCAAGAAAAGCAGTTCTAAAGTCCATTTAGTTTCTTTTGTTCATGTTCGTGATCTCTTCCTTTCCAGTGATAAACTGATTTTTAAAAATCTTTTCTATAGGAAATTTTGGGAGCGATTTATTGCCTTGTGTCATGACAACAAAAGCCTACATGGTATCACTTTTGAACAGATCAAAACTCAGTTAGAGGCTTTGGAGCTAAAGAAAACATATGTGTTGAATCCACTTGCTCCTGAATTTATCCCTCGGGCTCTAAGACAGCAACATTTGGGAAATACCAGCAAACAGCAGCAATCACCACCCAAGGTAAAACTTTTGTTAATAAAAATCAAGAGGTGGAATTGAAAAAATTTGGCTCTTGAAAAATAAGAAAGTTTTATTAGATTAGTTAGTAACCATATTCAGTAGCTTGTGTAGGAATTTAAGTTCAAAATTTCTAGTAAGCACAGTCCTTTTGGAAATTGTATGCCATTAGATGATAATAACATGATGCTGCTTAGCAGTATTCATTATTATTATTACTATTATTATTATTATTATTTTATTTTATTTTATTGCTGCCTTTTAACTGCAACTACATTAGAAGTAATTTAAGTGCTAACTCATTATGGTGTCTGCGTGATAGTTAAACCTCCCATTCCACTGTCTAATAGGTTTCCATGTTAGCAAGTTTTGCATACATAATGTAATTGTAATGTCTTGTCAAGCTTATTTAAAATATTCTTCTTGTAGTAGACTTATAATAATAGCAGTCTTAGTATAATAAATACGTTTACAGGTCTTTGTTGATGGGCCATTCTTTCTTTCTTTTTTTTTTTTTGTTTGGGCTAGGCAGTGGGGTTAAAGTGACTTGCCCAGGGTCACACAACTAGCGAGTGTTATGTGTCTGAGGCCAGATTTGAACTCAGGTCCTCCTGACTCCAGGGCCAGTGCTCTATCCACTGCACCACCTAGCTGCTCTGCTGATGGGCCATTATTTCAAAGAACATTTCATGCAATTTTAAAACTTGGATATCACAGGATCATAGATTTAAAGCTAGCAAGAACATTAGAAGTCATTGAAACTAACCCCTTCATTTTGCAGAGGAGAAAACTGAGTGTCAGAGAGGCTGTGTGACTTCTATACAGTTACCCAGGCAGGATGTGGCGGAGGCAGGTCAAGAAAGCAGGGTTTTGAGTCCAAACCTAGCACACACTGTGGTATCCCAGGTTGCCTGCATGTCTTTTTAAAGATTGTTGCAGTAACAGTTGGCCTATATTTGTTTCAACAGAAATTAATCTATTTAAAGGAGGAAATTCAGGATCTTTGTAGATAGTCTGCTTATAGCTGTTTTTATTAACTGCCTGGAATTATGCAGTTGATATATTTACAAGGACTCCTGTTAATAAAATACCTGCAATTATCAATTAAACAAGGAAGTTATAGGAATGACATCTTTAACATTTACTCTAGGTTTTTAAAAATGTTATTATTTTTTATTAAAGAAAGATTAAAAGTATTTATATTAAACAGTCATAGAAAATATTATTTATAAAGATTTAATGTGGAGCATTTCTAATTCACTTTTATCTGATCCCATAGCAATTGATTTTGTTTGCATATTAGCTTTGAAAGATATACTACATGCACACAGAGTAGCTAGGTGTTTAATAAAATAATTCTTGTTTAGTTTTCTGTTGAAGTCCTCTTTTGATACTTCACAGAGAATTATGGAGGTCACTTGGAGATTACAAAGGCTAAGGCAGTAGAATGAAAATTGTAGCATGTTCTGCCATCGGAGTGGTTCTGAGTAATTGGCTCAGAGACAAATTATGTGTCTATTAACTGATTCTAGCTGAAATTGGAGTCACTAAAAAGGACTATCTACTGAATATTTTTTCTGGCACTGCATCATTGGGGAGGGCATGCTCAAGCTAACAGAATCACAGATCTTTCAAAGAAACAAAGTATTTTATTTAATTCTCAGTTAAATAGGTAGAAGGATGAATAGAGAACTAATGTGTGTGCTGATAGAATACTGTGTTTTCTTGGTGATGAGGGAACTATTTGAGTTACAGTAATGCCTTATTTTTCTGGTGTTAGAGAATGATATGTTCTGATTAAATGAATTTTCTAGATAATTTTGTTTTAAACCTTTAACCATAGAAATAGGGGTAGTATAGAATAATGGAGAACATGTTGGTCTTTGAGTTAGAAAAAAATAGGGTTCAAAAACTGATTCTTAGACTTATTAGCAGTGTGACCCAGGGCAAGTCACTTAACCTCTGTGTGCCTTTGACAACTCCTTATGCCTTATGACATCAGACATTATCTGTGTAGTCACATAATCACAGACATTAGTTTCACAATTTTATTTTTATGAAGATCTAAGACATTAATGTTTGCCTTCTTAAACCAAGTAAGTGTAGTATAATTTTGTGATTTTTGGATAACCCTGTGAATAAACATCTATTATTGTATTGTGCACAATAACTAATAGGTGCAGATGATGTGAGACTTAAGCCTAAATTAGACACTCATCCCAAGGTATGATCTAGAACTTGTTTTCATCAGTTACACCTATATGATGTAAGCTTGCTTTTCAGTAATTTGTACCTTTTTCATAAAAATGAAGGAAACCATGTTTTGAATCTACTTGTTCCAATTAGAATGCAAGTTCTTTTTGGGCCAAGGAGTATATATTCTACAGCTTTCTAATTTCCACAGCACATAATACAGTACCTTTTGCATGGTAGACACTCGTATTTGCTGAATTCATAAATTATTGAAGGGTGATTAATAGTGTAGCTTCTTTTGTTCCACAACATGGTTCACTGTTCAACATACAACAAAAACCAAAGCAGCTTCCTCTAAAATGATTTCTTTACCATCTAGAAAATCATTACTCTGTTTCTTATTGCTACCTACCATTGATTTCTAACTGTAAATAGCATTCAGAACATTTTTTTTTTTATTACTTACATCCTGAGCTAGAGACATGCACCTAATTTTCAAGTTGACAGGATGTGAAAGGATATTCTTCACTCTTTCAAGATTTTATGGTACAGAGTTTGAGGGGTGCTTACTCCACAGCCCCCAAATTGTAATCACTAAGAGAAAATGGAATGTTGGCAGAAATGACACCAAGCTAGTTTTCCCAATATTTTCTGTAATATTTTGCTTTTGACAGAATTCCACATAAAATATTAAAATTTTCATCTTTAATGTTATAATGAGATTTAAAGATTCATATTGTACTAGAAACACTTTCTGCTTCTTGATTTTCATGGCTGCTGTCTTTTGGTTCTCCTTCTACCTGAATGTCTGCTCCTTTTCAATCACCTTTGCTAGATCGTCATTTATGTCATTCCCACTTACTGTGAGTGATCCCAAAGCTCTGTACTGGTCACTTTTTTTTCTCTGTATTATATTATTTGATACTTTCATCAGCTCACATGAGTTCAGTTACCTTTATGCATTTAAGTCCTAGATTTATATACCCAGGCCTAATTTCTCTCCTGAGTTCCACCCCCACATTACAAACTTCCTATTGGACATTTCAAATTATCCATCCTTTTAGCATCTTCGGCAGGTCTTCCTGGTTCTCCCAGTTGCTAGTTTCTTTTTCCCTGAGATTACTTTCAGTCTTCCCTATATATATCTTGTATGTTCTTACTTACATTTTTGTCTCTCTCATTAGAATGTAAACTTGGGAGACTAGAGACTGTTTTATTCTTTCTTTGCATCTCCAATGCCTTGCACAGTGTCTCGCACATAGTAAGCATTTAATAAGTGACTATGTAGTTTAGATATTAATTGCGGTTTAGTTTTTTGATAGAATTTACCTATAAATCTTTCTGTTTTTGGGTGTTTTTCCCCCTTTCATAGTTTATTTATGGCTATATTCAATTTCTGAAATTTGATTAAGATCTTTTTTTTTAATATGAGTAGTTTACATTTTTTAGGTAACCCTCCTCTTTAAAAAGTTCTCAACTTCACTGGCATATAATTTTGTACATAGGTTATGATAATTCTTTTAATTTTCTCTTTGTTGTGACTTTTCCTTTGTTTATTTTTTAATTTCAGTAATTTGATATCCCCCTTCTTTTCAATCAGATTGGCTAAATATTTATTGATTTTGTTAGTTTTTTAAAAGGTTCAGCTTTTTGTTTGCTTTCCTAATCATTTAGGGAGCTAGGTGATGTAGTGGATAAAGTATTGGGCCTGGAATCTGGAAAGCCTGAGTTCTAATATAGCCTTAGACACTTAATACCTATATGATCCTAGACAAGCCACTTAACCTCTATCTGCCTCTGTTTTTTCTATTGTAAATGGGGATAATAATAGCACCTACTTCTCAGGGTTGTTGTGTATCTCAAAAAAAGATTATATTTAGAAAGCACTTAGCACAGTGCCTGCCACGTAGTAGGTGCTTAATAAATGCCTGTCCCTGTCCTTTCCCCCTCCTACCCATATAGTTTTGTTTTATTTTCCATTTTATCTTTTTCCTTTTAATTTTCAAGATTTCCTCCTTTGTGCTTATTTTGGTTTTGTTCATTGTCTAATTTTTAAATTTCATATTCAGTTCATTAATCCTCTTCCCCCTCTCCCCAACTTTGTAAATATATACTCTGAGGACTTTTAACTGCATCCCAGAAATTTAGGTAACTTGTTTAATTGTTATTATTTTCTTTTATTTTCTTCTTTTTATTTATTTTTAATTTTTTAACCTTTCTTTAAAAAAATTCATTTGTTTATTTTTAGTTTTCAACATTCACTTCCACAAGAGCTTATGTTCCAAACTTTCTCCCCATCTTTTCCCTCCTTCCACCCCAAGATGGTGTGCATTCTGAATACCCCTTCCCCTGGTCTGCCCTCCCTTCTATCACCCCCTCCTTCTCTTATCCCCTTCCCCTTCTATTTTCCTGTAGGGCAGGATAGATTTCTATACCCCTTTGCCTGTATTTATTATCTTATTATCTGTATTTATTATCTTATTTCCCAGTTGCATGTAAAAACAATTTTTTAACATGTGTTTTTAAAACATTGGGTTCCAAATTCTCTCCCTTCCTCCCTGTCCACCCACTCTCATTGACAAGGCAAGCAACTTGATACAGGTTATACATGTGTAGTCATGCAAAACACTTCTATATTAGCCTTGTTGTGAAAAACTAACTGTATTTCCCTTTATCCTATCCCACCCCCCATTTATTCAATTCTCTCCTTTGACCCTGTCGCTCCTCAAAAGTATTTGCTTCTGATTACCCCCTCCCGCAATCTGCCCTCTCTTCAATCATCCCTCCCCATCCCCTTCTGCGCTATTTTC